TCGTATACGAGCTCAAAGAACATTGCCTCGTACAAGTCGAAAAATAACAAACTGACAGCTGATTTTTCAGCAGATTTTTGTAAAGCAGATATTTTTCAAAAACGTCCCTTGCGGACACCTTTTGATTCACAAAAGTGCGAATTTTGTCAGGAGCAATCACAGAATCAAGAACTAAGCCAAGTTATGACTCATAATATGCAAGAAAAAATAAGAACAATATCACGAAGTAACCCTGTGTTTTCTGCGAAAACTGCCGTATAATCAGAAGCTTGCAATACCTAATGACTTTCATTCCCTTAAAAAAAATTACTTTGACAAATCAAGAAGAAAAGTACAACCTGAGGAAAATAAACTGATCATCATACGAAATACTTAATAATAACATGAGATATCGTAATATCACGTGGTGCATTTGCAGAATGAGGGACTCTAGTAGCGATCAAACCGTTTTGTGAATCAAAAGGTGTCCGCAAGGGACGTTTTTGAAAAATATCTGCTTTACAAAAATCTGCTGAAAAATCAGCTGTCAGTTTGTTATTTTTCGACTTGTACGAGGCAATGTTCTTTGAGCTCGTATACGATTTATAACAGTTTTTGTGCCATTTTAAAAAACTTTGATTTTCTAGATCATCAAACTTTGAGAATATATGCCGCATATATTTGTCATCATGACAATTTGTCGTACTTTCTTTCGTGCATTCAATGAGAGTTTTTTTCGATTTTTCATGAGAGATAACCAGCTTTCCTCCTTCCAAACAAATAAGACACACATTTTGAATAAAAACGTCTTGTCCATTGACAGTTTTACGAAAAGAAGCAAGTCTTAATTTGATTTTCGACTCTAGTTCACTGTCAGAGCTGCTGCTGATCGTTAAATCCATTTCTAGAGGATACAAAAAAATACTAACTGTACCTAATACTCACTAAGTAAGTTCTGAATATTGTTAACTTAGCAATAAGTTATTATTCGCTTTTAATAATATGATTTATAGACAAGAACTTTATCACTTCACTAGTAATCTCAGTGGAATCAGCGCTACCAGAACAATGCATTCGAATTTACAACAAAACAGTGAATTCACGGTAAAATCGACCGTATCAACATCGCCCTCAGTAGAGTGGATTTTCGGTTGACATGGGCATAGCAATCTCGCCCTTCCCCACATCTCTGCGCTCGCCTCTGTTCTTCGCGACATGCCGTTCGATTTATTCGATTTTCTCGTGAACCAATTATCCAATCAAAATTCTAAAAAAACCAACATGTTCTCTGATGTTTGGTCTTTAACGTTTATGGAAAGCTTTTTTTTGCTAGACCCAATACTTTTCGAGGTAGAGCGAGTTAAATGATTTTAAAAATATGGGTGTTCAGGGCAAGCGGTTTTGTGTGAAGGCGCTCCATATACAACAATGCTGCGACGTATTTTTATAAATTAAAAAAAAATATTTCTGATATCCGGATGGGTATGCAAATTTGAGGAATGAATTATCTCAAAGCTTAGATCTGAAAACCGATGAAAAAAAAAATTGGCCTTTTTTTTAAAAAAGGCTCCCCCCACTCCCCTCCAACTACGATTTTTGGACGACCAAGTGATTTTGCATTGCAAAGGTCTTAGGAATGATGAAAAATGGGTTTTACATTTTAGCAACAAAGTGCCCACGAAAATCTATTCTAGAAGCCTCTTGCCAGTCTATTTACTCTACTAACACAGTGAAAAGACTCCGGAAGTTAATTTACAAATTTTATCAACTTCGAAATATTCTGAGAAGAGATGTGATGTTGACGGTTTATAGGGCCTTGGCTGAGTCTATAATACGCTATTGTATTATTGTCTGGGGTGGATTATTCAAAACGTCACTGTATAATTCGAATATTATTCAAAATACTCTGATCAAAATAATGTTGAAAAAAAATCGCAGATACTCAACTGAAGAATTATATCATGAGGCCAGTCTGTTTCAAGTTAGAAAGCTATATGCATATAATTGTTTGCTATGGATACTTAGCAGACCTTTAAAAATTATTTCGCATCCGTATAACACCCGTATGACTTCAAACCAAGTTATCAAAGTTCCACGCTGCAGGTTGAGTCATAATCAAAAATTTGTTACATACTTCGGTCCAAAATTGTACAATCAATTACCTTTTTATATAAAGAATATCAAGACCCATAAAAAATTGAAAATAGAAATAAGAATTTTCGTTGAAAACCACTACGAACAGTTGAAAACTATTTTTGAATGATTGGAAAAAATCTCCATATTCCTCTCTCTTCCTCTCGCTCTCTCTCTCTCTCTCTCTCAAACTATTTCATTTCATTTTATTTCATTTTATCATCGAGGTAGGTAGGCAATGCCAGGCTCACCAATGTAATATTCATTTCAATACATTTATTCTCATTCGTCAATAGGGTTTTATGATATGGACACATTGAAACAAATATAAACAGTCTGCACCATACCACAAGCTCAGCTTAGATAGCACAGGACTGTTGAGAATGTTTCTCAGAACCTTATTGACAACTTCTAAACTACTATACTAGGTACTATACATTGTAAATATCCTCTATATCTGAATAAATCAATCTATCTATCTATCTATCTATAATTCAACAAATTCGACAAGGTTTCGCATGAAAATGTTGCGAACGAGCACACCATCTTCTCCTTCTACTATGCTTTCATCATGAATTCTAGTGTAATAGAACTTTTAATTTGAACTTGACCTACATGCAGATATAGGATTTTCATTTTGCTATAACTCACAAGACTGATGGAGTTCGATATATAGTTTGACAACTTCTGTGGCATCGTAATGCAAGAGTATCTATTCATGTAATCAAATTTTCAGTTACCTCTAGAATACTTTTCATGTTGACAGGCAACTATAATCTAGCACTTCGAAGGCCATGGTGTTGTATATCAGCAAGTAACATCACTCAAATCCTGTATTTTAATTTAATGCCATGAAATTGTAGTGACTTCTGTTTTTGAAATTTTATATAATAGAATCATGAATGGCCAACCATCTACTGATATAGGTGATTGTGGGACAAAAAGTAGACCAATGCTGTGAACACATCACAGATGTATAGAACATTATAATAAGAATGGAGATGAACTCGAATCAAAATTTGATTTGGGAAACCAACTACTCATTGTGGAATCAATATGTTAGCTACAACTCAAGGCAGTATTGCAAATTTCAATAGGTGTTCCTGTACTTTCGGTCACTGGACTTGAAAGTGTATTATTTCAGAACTGCCTAGTCATCAAAGTCTAGTTCCTTTTCTTGTCTTGGAGGTTTTTGTGAATAGGAATCAATATTAAGGTACTGACATTTTTCTTCTCCAGGGTTCTATTTGCGGGCTTGGTTGTGGGTCCCAGATCTTCCTGGATTTTTCCACTCCAATGCCATACATGGTGACTCAACCGGAGTCTACATAGGGTATTCTATGTGATCTTATACCGGGTGACCCAATCGGAGACAATAGCAATGCAAAGCAGTAAATTGCGTCCCTTCAAGACCATCAGAAATCATGTTCTTCTGCGCATGTGTCTGAGCTCAAGTGACGCAAAAATACCCCACGTCCCTCATTTATATGTGTTTCCGAACGCTTCTTGAAATGGTTCAATCAAATCTGAAATTCAGTTACTCATTGGCTGATTTATAATTGTGAGTGGTTCGAACTGTATCGTACTTCCTCTTTACCGATTCTTGTTTGAACTGTTGTTTTGTTATTTTATAGGATCGCATGATCTGAAAGTCAGGGCCCAAGAGACTTTCGCATACTGGACGATTGATGGCAAATCCAATAAAATGAGGAATTATTGCTGAACTGACTAGTATTATTAGTTTTTATTTGCCCATACCACCTAAGCTCAAATATACGACTATTTTGGTAGTCTGTATTCACATTGGCTGTAAGTGGAGGTGACTGAATTACCTGGAGCCCATTTATCGAACCCTTCCATCTCCACTAAAACGCTAGACGTAGAACTTCTGATTCAACAGGGAATACAGGGATTAATTCAATTCATGGGGATATGCGAAACGAATTCTATTTTGAACAATTGAAAGAATAATGAAGGAATTGAAGGAATAATGAAGGGTGGTATAATGAATTAATTCAACAGTATAACACTACTAGTCTCGAGAGTACTAGAAGATGTATTTTAACAGAGCAGAGAGATGTGTGAAAATCCCAATAGGTAACATGTGATATATATCGAAGACTGGAATCTTAGGCACGATAATACACTACACTGTTTTACCACTAACCAAACTTAACATAGTAAGCGAAACACGTGTCGAGGCGTTAAAAAATCGGTTTGGTTAGTGGTAAAACAGTATAGGCAACATGTGGAACACTTCTTATAATCAGTTTGATTTTGTAATTTCCTTTGTCTCGATTTCGCATAATTTCATGTGGAGAATTATTATGCTGGTTTGCCTTTGATGTTCTATTGAAAGAATATGTAAGTGTTTCTGTTGTTGTTTTTGTCCTGTGACAATTGAGCATATTACACATTTATTTTGGTTCGTTTTGATTCTGGTGTCAATAGGATCATCAAATTAATGATTGAATTTTCAGTTATTTCATGAAACAGATGGATGTGAAATGGCTAACATATAAATTTCGAAGCAAAATAATGAAAATGTTTACAAATATCAATAAGGGTTTGTAAGGGAAATATTCAGACATTTGAGTTCCAATTCTATATCACAAGGTGAGAAATATATGGGCGACATTCAAGAAGAATCAATCAAAAAATTTCTGGATCAAAAAATTTTTTTGGACCACGCTATAAAGTTTCAACAAAAATTCACCAACTCTGAATTATTTGAGATAATGGTAGTAATATTGGAGAGGTGGATGAATGTCACTGCGTTTCTTGAAAGAATGTTCTTATGAACCTGGCATTTTTGTCCTACTCACATCATTTTTTCGAACATATTATATCTATAGCTATAATGGGATTTGAACAATCAGACTCTCACGTGAAATTGCTATATATTCCCATAAATTTCCACTCCTGATGTACAAGCACTTATTATTTCAAAGTTATAGGACAGATAAAATTCAAATTTTATTACGACTTCAGGGTAGTCAGAAAAGTTATTTTAGATTCTTGTGTAGGTAGGCACTTCCCGAATGCTTCAAGAAGTAATGGTTCTTCCTCTACGGTGACTTGAAAATCTCTTAGGGACACCTTTCCATCCTTATCTTTGTCAATTTTTTTCATTACTATATCAACAAGATCCTTCACATTTTCATCTGGATCTTCTTCTTGTGGATGTTTGATCAAGGAGTTCCTGAAAACCATCAATTTTCAATTCATGATTAACTCAATATGAGAATGTTCCTGATAGGATCTAGGATATAGATTATCCATGCTATGTTGTGAATTCCTTCTAAAATCAACATTCAAAATATTCACAGGCCAAAATACGTTTAACAAATGAACCCAGAGTTGGTGGCAAAAAATGCAACATTTCTCTAAAGGCTGAAATTTCGACTTTAATGATATTGAGAATCTGAAGAATAGTTTCTGAATAGTGACTTAACTATAGAAAATATGTGGAAACGATGACTAAGTTTTATTGACGTTTTCTATCAATATCAACTTGAATACCAAATTTAACATTTTTGAAAATAGTTTCACCATCAACCATACTTTTTGTATGACTGACGTGAACTGTTATGATTTTTCGGGAGAATGACGGTATCCACATCATTTTTGAGATGATTCACTATACAGAAACCAGTTTTCAGATGTTAGAAAACTGTAACGACCTACATGGTTTTTCAACAACTTTAAAGCCGCCCCCGCGCTAATAGCGTACGAAAATGGCTAACTGATGGTAGGCTATTGATGTAGGTGCACCCTAAATACTACATAACATCGAAATGTCAGCCTTTAGAAAACGGTTGCATTTTTTTCACCACTCACCTCTTCCATTGCAACTGATATTCTCTGATCGAAGAGTTTACAAGTGCTGAATTTTCGTCTCATCGGTTTTACACTGATGAACTTCATGATTCTGCAATCTAGATGACCTGTTGGAATGTTTCAAATTATTCTTATGTTCGAACTAGAGAAATTGAGAAATTTTCGGGCGCGAACAATGAAGTCATTGCTGAGTCTGAAATGAATATTGGTATGACACGTTTTGTATTTCGTGATTAATCATTCCGAAGTGAAATCGAAAGGAGTATCCGAAAAGACTGCATAACCTTCTGAATGGAAGACATCATTCAAATTATTCCCATAACCCTTATCAATTATAGTCAGTTAATCAATTAACGAATGTAGAAACAGCAACCTAGAACATGACAAAATAGATACACAGATAACAGTTATTGGAACATAATGTCCATTACAGCGTCGGTAGCATTGAGGATTGGTGTAATCTGGATTCGGGATGGAATTCTGCACGGTCCCAGATTACATTCACGTTAAATAACTCAGAATCATTGAGATAATATCGACTTCCAGGATCTCACAAGTCAGAATTTCATTTCGATCCTTTCAAGTCCAAGATTCAACTTCGAGTGTTGAACCTATTTTGTATATCATTGAAAAGTATCTCCAGACATCATAGCTACTCAATTATTCCATGAAATGTGTTTCATACTTTCCGATCGATCAGGATAACAAGAAATATCATTTTACCTATCTGGAATCTTTTCGTTCAATAGGTATTTGAAATGTCCATCCAGCAAGAGAATGATTTTATTATTGGACTGTTATCTTGGCCAACTGTGACCAATTAATTATATCGACCCATATTTCAGAAAATATGATTATCGATTTTTCTCACGAGAATCAATGAATTCTGAAGCAATCGAAACATATCTGTACCGATTATCATCATCATAAATCACAGGGTGTCCAAAAAACCGAATTACCTTTAAATTTTTCTCCAATATAGGTGGTCAGAAAATGTAGTAATCTAGTATTTTTGGGCAGAAATAGTGAAACTGACATTTATTTTCCAAATACAGAATGTGTATGTGTAAAAAAATAGAAAGGATAAGTGAGCAAGTTTTTCAACGTAAGGATTCTTCACTTGAAGGATGATGACAAATTCTGAATCAGGATCACTTATTGAAGCAAACCTGTACCGATTTTCATCATCATCGAACATAGGGTGTCCGGAAATTGGAATTATTATTTTTTTGAATTGATAAAACAATATTGCCTACTTATTCTCTTCTATTTTTTCTTCAGACATATCGTCTCGAAATGAAATCGATATCGATATGTTCAAACTAGTCCTCAATTACAGTACAGACCACGTATAAAAAAAATATTATTCATTTTTTCTGACACCCTTTGTTCTTCTTTTTCTTCTTCTTCTTCTCCTTCGAAGCACTGGTGGGCGGGTGAACCCCCTGCACGTGGGCCTAACAAATTCTGAATCAGGATCACTTATTGAAACAAACCTGTACCGATTTTCATCATCATCGAACATAGGGTGTCCGGAAATTGGAATTATCATTTTTTTGAATTGATAAAACAATATTGCCTACTTATTCTCTTTTATTTTTTCTTCAGACATATCGTCTCGAAATGAAATCGATATCGATATGTTCAAACTAGTCCTCAATAACAGTACAGACCACGTTAAAAAAAAATATTATTCATTTTTTCTGACACCCTGTGTTCTTCTTTTTCTTCTTCTTCTTCTCCTTCGAAGCACTGGTGGGCGGGTGAACCACCTGCACGTGGGCCTCCTTATTCGGGCCCATTGTGCGCCCACATGTTACGACATTCAGCTGGGTATGCCGACTGCCTTGGAGAAGTTCAGCAGCTTCCTAAGCTGAATCTCTTTTACGTCCTCTGGCCTCAAAATCATGTTGCCAAGGACAGCCCTCCTCTGATGCGTCAGTGCTGGACACTCAGTGAGGACATGTGATGACGTTTCGTCATCTTCCAGGCACCATCTGCAAAGGGGGTCTTCCTTGATCCCAATAAGCTCTAGGTGCCTATTGAGGTGGTTGTGACACCCTGTGTTTGATGATGATAAAAATCGGTAGAGGTGTGCTTTGAGTGATCCTGGTTAAGAATTCATCATTATTCTTCTGGTGAAGAAACATTATGATGAAGAATATTGTTTATAAAATATTATAAATGATAAAATTGTTATTTTTTCATTCAGATACATTATATATTCGAATGATGAAAATTGGCACATATATGATTGCATCAATCCTTTTTAACGATTTGTCATTCGTTCTTTTCAATAATACCACAGTACTACATCTTCTGATGACCTATCAAAGAAAATATATTCCATTTTCTGGACACCCTGGTAGGTTTTATGATGATCAAAATCGGTAGAAGTATGTTACAAATGATCCAGATGCAGAATCCATTATTATTTTTTGTATAAAAAGTCACTAACATTCCTTTGGGAGATAAATTGGTAGCAGTTTGCCACCATGACAGTCCAAGAATAAAATCACTCTCTCGTTGGATGGACATTTCAAATTCCTATCCAACAGAAACAAAGTTCCTCAAAATTTACAGAATGTATAGTCCTTAAAGTAGATACACTGTATGTAAGTACCTGGCCAATGTTATAGATGTTATAGAGTTTAAATGCAGTCAATGTCAAGTATGAGTAGATATTATGTCACTTGACTTGTTACACTCATGTTGCACTGTACATTCAAGTGAAAATGGCAAATGACAGTTCACCAGTAACGTCAGCAGGATGGTGAACTAACTCTCTGAAGTTTTTCCGGAGGTGAATTCTGAGGATACGGAAGAATTCAAAACATATGTAGACAATGGTTCTTTATAGACTTCATGAAGAAATAAAAATCTGAAAATGAAAAACTTGCTAATTCAGGATGATGAAATAATCCAAGAAGCTGGTCAATGGATAAATAGGTTTTGGTTGAAAAATCGTTATCCTTCCTTCTGCAAAATGTTCCAGAATCTATAACTGAATTGAATCCTGATATAACTCTGGATCAGGAACGGAGTGATCCCATGCAAAGATGATTGGTGACCTAGAAGCAGTCTTACTGAGTATGGGAATCAAGAACGGACCGAAAAAAATCACAGTTGGATCGGCTCACCTTTCGTACGATGACCCCATACTCCCCCATCAGGAGAATGAAACAACTGGTGAGAACATGCCTGTTATCTCACCTGGGAGAGCAGCAACACAAATGAAACAGGTGAGTCTCCAAAAAATATTTTACGGCAAATAATTTAGACGTTTTGAATGTAGGCCATAAACAGGTGCTAACTTCGTATCTGAGGAAGCAAGTATCTCCGACTACAAACATATCTACTTCAACATATAAGGTTAGTGCCCTAGACAAGAAACCTATAGAAACCCCCGAAATACAGACTGGGAAGCTTACAGGCTCCAAATGCTTGGAAGTGACACACAAGACGAAAAGGAACTCAATAGATATAGAAATAATAGCAGAGCACCTTCAGAATGTTCTGTTTTATCTCTTGGAGCGCATGAAAGATGATGCCTATAATGTTGGAGGAACATCGTGCGTACCTGAGGAGGATAGGGAGAGGAGGTAGGTATTGGATTTTTTTTATTTCTGGAGATTATTCTTGATATATGAATACATCCCTTGGCAATTGATTTCAAAGCTATGCCGGCATATATACAAACGAGTTTGACGTTGAGTTAACGACGAAAAGATGTACTGACTGGGCTATCGAGTTTGTCTCATTGTTATTGCCAGTGTTGTAATTATACGGCAGAGATTTCTGAAAAACATTTTCTGTGGAAGTATCTATAGAAGAATAAAAGGCCTTAACCGAATATCACAAGACTCTGAGGAAATCTAGAAGTGACTGAGGGGAACACTGTGAGGGAAACAAAGGGACTCAGGAGTGTACCAGACATCATACAATCCTCTCTAAGTATCCCCAAAACTCAATAACCACCATCAAAACCGAGAATGTCAAGTATACGAATAGCGGCGAAGAAACACTGAGAGAATACTCTTCAGAGTTCACTCATTCTCCAGGATCTCTAATCAAAACAACTGGTAGGACAAAGTACTAGATCTTCCCAAAAGGGCTTCTAGGTTGCAAAGACAGTGATGACCGTAAACAAGATTAGATAACACATTCGAACCATATAAATCGCCGGGAATGGACGGCATTCATCCAAGAATGTTACAAAATGGCAGTAATGTGCTTCACCACAGATTATGTGAAGTACTCAGAGCAAGTTTTGCAACGAGATACATACCAATAACCTGCGACAAATTGAATCAATATTCATACTAAAACCGCCGGCGAAAATCGGACAGAATAGGGCGAAGGCTCAGAGACTAATCAGTTTGTAGTTTTTCATACTGAAGACACTCAAGAAACTGCTTGATATAAATCAATGGTGGAGTGCTGGTTGATAGACCCATTAATTGGCACCATATTAAGACGCTCAGCAACCAGCAATGTCTCAAGAATCAGCACTATACCAACTTCGTGGAGAGAAAAGAGAATGCTTCTGAGAACAAAAATGTGCTTCTCAGCGTTCCTTAACCCAATCACCTAGGCGTCGAAACGATGAGGATTCGACGAATCAAGCTGAAAGTAGATCAACTGCATTCTCAAGGTTAGATTTATATTCACGTACCTGATGAAAGAATATTTGGTGGCTCGCTTGGCAAGGAAATGTCCGCGAGAACCTGTCCTGTCTGCTCTGGGATATTCTGATGGACGGCCTACTAGGAGTACTCGGAAACGATGGATACGACACTCTGGGATGTGCAGCCGATTTGGTCATTCTAATCCAAGACAAATTCAACAACTTGGTGAGGAAACGATTACAAAGGGCCCTTAACGTTGTGTCCGAATGGATGAAGGAAGAGGTTTTGAAAATTAGCCCCTCTCGATCCACCATAAAAACATTTACCATAAAGAGAAACCTACCGGGACTTGAGGGCTTAGGCTACAAGGTCGAGGAATCAGATTATCGGGGAAGATAAAATATCTCGGAGTCATACTGAATCGTAGAATTACCACGAACAAACTAATACAGACAATTGCGCACGGCGAAACATGAGGTTCAATTCCAAATATGATGTATAGGATATATTATCACTCTGGTGAGACCTATGATAACAAATGCATCTTTGGTGTGAAAGACAGAGATGAATCAGAGAACCGCTATAACCACACTGAGCAAAGTCTGTATGAAAATAACGAATGCAATGAAAACAACACCAACAGCCACAGTGAAAACGCTACTAGTCAGTTGAGGGTGATCACAGGTCTCCTCAACAGGACACCTTTCTCTAAGAGGCAGTATTATCGATTACAATGACATTTCCGTGGCAGATGACTGTTTCCAATGCAACTGCCGGTGCCATGGCCTAGTAAGAATAAGAAAACTCAAGAATACGAGATTTCCTGGAACTGAGACATGTTAATTCGCTAATATTTCGAAAACTGTTGAGTGTAGGCATAGATAACCTCATTCAAAGTTAGCTACATTTTCGATGCCGAATCGAATAAGAATATAAAATTGGGGGGTTTCCATTTGAAAAAATTGATTTGATCATTTTTAAAACCAGATCTGTATCATTTTCTGGTGAACGCCCTGTATAACTGTAATCGAATTGATATCGAAATTCTACTAAACTGGGTCCTCTCCTACAAATAAATCGATACATGATCGAGAATCAATGATCATGTCCAGAAATAAAAAAAATATTTTTCGGTCTGTAAACGCAGTTTTCAACTCAAAATTTGAAATATTTCGAAAACGGTTAGACTTGGCTATAGGACATTATACATTAAACATGTTCAGAATCATGCATAAATCTAAAACCTTGATAATATATAGGGTGTCCTATTTGAAATAACGAAGTTGGGGCCTACTTCCGGTACAACCGAAAGTGCCACAATCTTCAAATTTTTTAGCCGGATAGCACGAGTCAACAATAGTGAACTCTCAGATTTTCAAATTCGACACACCTATGGTTTTCTATATATTGATCGATGCAGTAACAGGAGGGACACCCTGTATAGTTATGTTAAATTATATTACTTCAATCACATAATATACCTATACACTTTGACCATTCTCAAACCCACACCAAAGTATTCATGCAAGCCGCGCTTTTATAATTACATTTGATTGGTTCGCGGAATATGTAAAGCAACCGTAAAACGCATGCATGTTCAGCGTTACCAGAACTACTATTTTAACAGTAGATCTACTGTTTTTGTCACCCTTCTACTGTTCTCCTGTTGCAGGCATGAAACCTACTGTTTTGTTAGTTCACGTTGAACCAAAATCTAAGCTGAGAAATGACAAGATTTCACACAAGCGGTCGCAGAAATTATGCTTCAGAGTTGATGAGGTGAGGTTTGCAGTTAAAAGTCCTGTTTTGGAGACAATTCAATTTTATTTCCCAACTTGTCCAATTATGTTTTCGATTCAATATTTTTGCGTCATTCTCCAGAAACCTTAGAGAGACTTTATTCTCAAATAAATTTGATGAAGTCAATGCAGCATAATGAGTTAAGTACAGTCAGCATTATAGGATTTCTCCTTACCAAAAAATATTTATCTACAAGGCGATGATCTGACTATAGTCATTCTTTTGATATGACATAACTACTTGATATGGTGCAAAAAAGAATTAATGGCGCATCACAGTAAGAAGATGTATGATAAAAATGTACTGAAATTATCAGACTCTGATTAATGAAAATAAGCGTTTATTTCCAATTTGACTACGATTTAAAAAAAAAAATATTTTTTATTTTATTATTTGTTGTTATTCTTTATTTGATTCTCAATAGGTATAAAAGCCAAACAATTTTTTTTTATTTTCAATATGGGTTTCTGTGTTTTTCTTATTCATAACAGTAAATTGTGAATGATTATCAAGATCTACTGTTCAATTTTGATGATCTACTGTTTATTCCTCACCCATCTACTGCTCCGGCACTGTGCGTGTTAATAGTAATAGGTCAATAGTGATTTATCCATTAGAATGAATCGCCAATTGCGACAAATTTCATTCCACTGTATATATGAATCAATAGCATAAGAACTCTCAAAATGGCGAATATAATATTGCCGATTATTCATTGTGACGTCACCTCCCTTTAGGTACCTTCCTCAACACCTCCTTACCTCAAGAGTTGAAACATTTCATCCTTGGTGATGAAACCATCAGAATTGAGATCATACACTGCAAAACAGTATTCAATCTGATCTGCTACACTGCCTTTTAGAAATAATGACATCCCACGAAACCAATTTTCTATCGTGATGAGACCACAGTTGTTGTTATCCCAGACACAAAAAATTCTATCCATCAGCGTATTTTCTGTGATTATATCGAAAGTATTATGAAGGACCTCGGTGAATACTATCCTGTCGATACCCTAGAACATATATACCGAAAGATACACCTATGACATATCTTCAAGAGAATCATATAATGAGTAGGTAGGTACTGAATGAAATTTCTGAATAGATTCATTGAAATTGATTCTGTCATCTTCAGTAGACGTTAGAGGCAACTAAAGTTTTTGTATGAGTCAAACTCATGCTTTTCATAAGGTAGTTTGTCTTTCCTTGTGAACTTCAAGTGAAACTGTTTTATTGGAATTGAGACTGACAGTCTTTCAATTCTGATTGCCTTTAATAATAATTATTGAGATCATATGAACACGTTTGTTCCTGATTTCAATTCCACGATGTTATTCGAAAATATAGGCAATTCATTCCCCGTGGATTTGATTTGATTTTTTCATCATATCGTATAAAATGATATTATTGAAGATATCATGCAATAGCTGTAGATCTGCAATACGTTTATTGAATTCAATAAATGGAGTATGATACTGACTCTCTGATGTTTCGTTATAAAACGTACATACTGGAAGTTCTTCTATTGCTAATGCAAATACAGGGATTTGTTAATTTTGTGAAGAAAATTCAGTGACCTTGCTAAACATTTTTGAATCACCCTGCGAAAATGAATGTTTTTCTGTATATCCTCTATAAAATCGTGAAACGGCTTCATTGACTTCACTATTATTTTTGTTATGTTTGTCATTGTTAATAAAAGGTTCTCATGAGAGAAAAAAATCCAGAAGTTCAAGATGGCGGATCCAATATGGTAGACGAGTATTGTAATAATTAAAACCCGATTCTATTCAAAATTGATATCTCGAGGTTTTGAGGATCGGTGATTATGATTGCTGTCCAAATTGAAAAATTCAAATGTTTTGTTATTATCTTCCGATTTTATTCAGAATTGGTATCTGGGAGTTTTTGAGCTCGGAGATTATGATTCTGCCCTCAGAATTTGAGAATTCAAGATGTCGGATTCAATATGTCGAACGAGTTTTGAAATTATATTCCGATTCTATTCAGAATTGGTATCTATGAGATTTTGGGGACATAGATTATGATTATTTCCTCGAAATATCGCGGACTTCTTTCGAAACTATTATACGATTCTGTTCAAAATTGGTATCTGGAGGTTTTCGGGTTCGGAAATTATGATTCTCCCGTCAAATTTTTTAAATTCAAGATGGCAGATCCAATATGGCGAACGAGCTCATCAATTATGATTCGATTTTATTCAAAATTTGTGAGTGTGGGTTTTCGGGGTCGAAGATTATGTATCCTTTGCCAAAATCAGGAAATTCTCAATTGAAAATGACGGATTCAATATGACGGATGGGCTTTCTAATCACGTTCTGATTCTATACAAAATTGCTATCTAGGGTTTTTTGGGGTCGCGGATTATGATTCTACCCTGAAAATTTGGAAATTGAAGATGGCGGAACCAATAAGGCGAACAACTTCTGTAATTTCAATGCGATTCTGTTCAAAATTGGTATCTGGGGGTTTTTGGGTTCGTACTATGATTATTTCGTCGAATTCTGAAAATTCAAGATGGCGAATCCAATATGCCGAACGAGTTTATTAAAGCATTCGATTTTATTTGGAATTGAAAACTGAGGGTTTTCGGTGTCAGAAATTATGATTTTCTTGTCGAAATCAGGAAATTCAATATGGCAGATCCAATATGGCGAACAAGCTTTGTGATTATGATCCGGTTCTATTCAAAATCGGTATCTGGGAATTTTTGGGGCAACAAATTATGATTTTTTCGTCAAATTGAGAAATTCACGCTGGTGGATTTGAAATGTCGAACAGGCTTCATCATGGCTTTGGGAAACTGAAAAGAAGTAGAGAATGGATAGTAATTTAGAAAACTAAAGAGATAGATTACCGAACTGAAAAGTAGGAAACTAAATGGTAGTTTGGAAAACGAAGAAAACAAGCTTTAATGGCCAGACGAACTGAAAAGATGTAGAAAAAAAATTGAGGTGTGTTGTTGAATATTCAACTTGAAATTTATTTATTAGAAATAATCAAGTCCAGATCTATACTTTCCATCCCAACTATTTTTCAATGTGTCGACTTCCATTAGTCGAATGAGTGTACAAAATATGAACGAATTTGGTTGTATCAATCATGGAGAAATATCTAATTTCAGTCATTATTCACAATATTTCATCCATTATTAACTCATTCTGTATTTATATTATATTCTTTCATTTCCCGCACTGAGTATTTACATATAGATATTTAATTTTTCGTCACTTCATTGTATTTTGGAGGGGTACTGGCTTTGCACGGATATGTTTTGGAAAATGTTTGAAATTTTACACAGGTTAGGTGGTAGAGCAGGGCTGGCTCCTTGGGGGGGTACCTGAACCTCGCCTGGGACATGATCATATATTTTTTATTCCCTATGTTGCAAATCTTCTTGTCCAATGAAGACATTATTATTATCATTATTCTAGCAAGTCCTTGTTCATCGGAAAAGGAAGGATTTCGAGAATCCGATCTTATGTCTGTAAAAAAAATTCAATTTTCTGGTCCATACTCACATATCTGAAAAATGAGAATGTTCTAAATCTAACGCTCCTTTATAAAAGAGAACTCTCATTTTCGACACATTGACATAAAATTGTCAATGCATACTAGCCAAGCATTTTCTCTGATCCCAATCCTGAGTTTTTTCTGATGACTAGTTCGAATTATTGTAATCGACTATTATGAGTTTTCCCTTATAGTGAAAGCCTATCCAGGTTCTCTAGTCCAGATTACTGAAACGTTCAAACTGCATGAACATTTCATAACAAAGCACCCTGCATAGTATCGAAAAAAAGACAACAACATAAAAAACATATGGGTTTCAGTCCTTAACTGAAAACCTACTTACTTCTGAAACAGTTGTTTGTTTCCCAATTATTGTTGCTGAAGAACTCTTCTTGACATTTTCTGTCTTCTTGGTTTTACTGAAGGTAATCAACTTCTTGTAGATTTTGTAGAGAGCTTCGATTTCTTTCCTAAATTAAATAAAAAAAATTAATATTTTTTCATTCATTATTCCAAATTTTTTGGGATTTTCTCTCCTCGTTTCTATAAAATAAAAATATGAATATTATTTCAATATACGTGTACAATCTTGAACCATTTTTTCAGAGGGTGCATCAAGAAAGGGAAAGATTCATCATTTCAGTCATCCATTTAAATAACAGTGGAATACAACAGGTACTTCTTATCGGATAAAGAACCCCGCACTTTTTGTAGGTAAAATGGTGATTTGTGGAATTCTCTAAATTTTCAGTATGTTATAGAATTTGATCAAATGATTGAACATGCAAAATTGTAGAGTTCATCAAGGAACTGATTTTGAAATACAGGGCGCTGTAGAAGGTAGAAATCGGTAGGTAATTTTCATTCGATTATATTTTCGGGATATGAAGGTGGCAAGTGAATTTGTTTTGGCTAATATTATCGACGTACCTTCATATTCCACAAGATTATTCAGATGGTTGAGATTATGACATTGTATAAGAGTGAAAAATAAAAACATTTTAGTGATGTCTGAAAATTCGATGTTATAATGAGGTATCGAAAATCAATATTGTGACTTGCAATATTATACTATTCTCATTTTATCATGAATCACAATTCATACATTTTATACAGAGGATTTAAAAAATTTTTTAACCATACGACCAATTAATTCATACACAAAGATAGCTGATATCGTATGTACATGATTTGGTTGGAATATATAGGGTTATTATGAAAATTTACGATGATGAAACTGACAAAAATATCATGTTCTTCTGAGTCACCTTGTTATTCATGATTGACTTGCTGGAATTACTTGATTATTTTGTTCAATAATTATCATTCGCTCTTCAACATTATATCGAAATTTCAATTTCTTATCATGTGTTGTGAAGTTACACTTCAGACCCCCTACGAGGTTAGCAGGAATATGTATTCAAATATTATATTCTATAATTCTCCAAGTTGCTTATTTGAGAAACTTCATTATTATTTATCAAATATACTGTTACGAAAGATAACATGATGTCATATAATGTTAGGTATAACGTTACATTTCTGCTGAATTCTCTGTTCCAATTAAACGATATCGATATTGCTGATCAACACAACATTTTTTTTTATCGCTTGGAGCGCACGAAAGGGAATCCCTATAATGTTCAAAGAACATCGTGCGTTCCTAGGGAGGATAGGGACAGGAGGTAGGTATTGGAATTTTTTTTGAACTTTTGGAGATTATATGTTGTTGGGAATACTTCCACAGGCAATGAATTCCAGAGCCTAGCCGTTCTATGGATGAAGGAGTCTTGATTAAGTGCTGTTCGACATCTTTCGAGGTTGCCAACGAAAGGATGTGCTGACTGGGCTTGTCTAGTTCGTCTGATTGGTATTGCTAGTGAAGGGATGATACCAGAGATTACCGAAGAAAATTTCCCGTGGAAGTATCGATAGAAAAGTGAAAGGTTGCCGACCTTTCTACGGTGTTCCAATGATGTCAAAGAGTGAGTGAGTGTAGCGTCACCCACCAGGCGAATGGCTGTTCTCTGGATGGAATCTAAGAGCATCAGCATATGTTTTGGTGCTGAACCCCATATGTGGGAACAGTATTCTAGAACAGGCCGTATCTGCGCTTTGTAGATCATGAGAAGCTGTCGAGGTGTAAAGTAGCTTTTCGCACGGAACAAGAATCCGAGTTTTTGTGAAGCAGCTTTTGCGATGGATCTGACATGATTATCCCATGAAAGAGTGTTGCTGATGGAAATACCGAGCATAGATATGGTGGGCTTGGTGGGGATGGTGGAGCCAGACATACCAATATCGGGCATACTGAGTTCCGCCTTTCTAGAGAAAATGCAGGCTCGAGTTTTGGTGGCGTTTCAACTAGGTTGTTTGTTCCCCAGACTGTGATTTCAGCAAGATCTTCATTGACAGCATTGACCTGCCTGCGCCGTGAGTTACTAGTTTCCTGGGAAGAAATGGGAATTCTGGAAGAGAACGCAGTATGGAGGTTACTATCATCTGCAAAGCTGTGGATGGGGCAAGTTGTTACTCCCAACAGATCATTGATATGAAGCAGGAATAATGTTGGTGCCAAAATTGATCCTTGTGGAACGCCGGAATTGATGCCAATGGCATCAGACGATACACCGTCCACCACCACGTGAAGCGATCTGCCTGAAAGAAAACTCGATAGGAAATGGCATAGCTGAGGTGGTAAGCCGTATGATGGTAGTTTGTGGAGGAGTCCTTCGTGCCAAACACGGTCGAATGCTTTCGATATGTCCAACGCGACAGCTAGAGATTCCCCGTGTTTTTCTATTGGAGATTGCCATAAATGGGTGCCGTAGAACATCGTATTGTCAGGTGAATTCATTATTGATAAGTAAAATTCTATTCTTTATTTTTATTGGTCAAAATTGATGTCATGAGAGCGTCGTTTCTGTGACGAAAATGTCGCGTATGAAACTAAGAATGTCAGCAAAATGCGGGGATTTTTCCACGAGACTTGTAACACTTAACATCTATAATTTTCAACATCTGTACACAATCTGTATTCATCGCCATCAACATCAACTGCTCTATACTGAATAAAACCAGCTAACAGGACCCTGTGAGTATCATTCAGCTCACCCTATCCACCCGCAACACAACACATGACTGGTTTCATAGTTATCAATTGAGGAACTAACTATCTGCATGTAAAAATCATTCACATTCACCTAGTGTCCAAGATTTTTCACCAATAGTGAAACATGAGAATGTGGAGATCGAGTGTAATATGTCCTAACCTGACCTATGACAGTCCATTCAATCAAATCTACTTTTCAGGAACTGACTGAATAAACGACACATGACTTACAACTTCCATACTGTCTGTAGGTTAATTGAGGAGGTGGTATATTCATCATTCCAGATTTCCTGGGATGTTATCACAGCCCACAACTCAAATTTAAGCCAGATTGACTTCTGGCTACTTGTATAGTTGGACTAGGAACACTCACAACCGTGACCACCTCCCCCGAGGATCTTGTTTTCGAGAGTCTCGCATGGTCTAGTCTCGTTTTCGAGTCTCGTGTCTCGTGCCAGAGTCTGGCAGGTAAATATTTCTGCGTGCCGACTGCAGACTTGAGAATTTCATTCATAATACAACATATTTAGAAAGAATTCAGACTATTCAGCACAGATTGATAAAACATTTCATTCATAAATACTTTGAAAACACAATACATGATCTCTTATGGCGATGGAAAATAAAGGCAATTCAGCAATAACGACAGATCGCAAATTGAATGACTACCTACCTGAAAATCTATAAATAAGTCATTCTGTGCTACATAGTCTAAGATAAAGAACAGCTTTGTTTTGACGGGAGTATGGATGCAGGAGCTTCAAAAATATTATTCTGTACCTCGGTGTAATAAAAGCACAGATATATTGCAATAGTGGAAAAATCATGCTTCTGAATTTCTGATTCTAAGTTTGATGGCACGATATCTCTTAAGCATACCGCTACTTCAGTTTAATTGTTCAGATGTATGATGTAAGTATGTACCTATAAGGTACTTACTTTTCAATAAGTAATGTTATTTTTGTTGTAATTTTGCCTTCCTATATACTTCTACATTTTACCTAGAAAGAAGGTTAAGGTGAATATTTCGTACTAGACTAGAACAAGATTATGCATGACGAAATTGCGATACATCTGCGAGACTATCGTACGACACGCGAGACAAGAGGAGACTGGAGGCTACGAGACGAGACTCGAAACAAGACTTCATATTTCATCGGCGAGACGAGACAAGACTTTATGAAAGTCTCGTCTCGTTGATGGTCCCGTGTGAATCACTACGTAGCAGCGCTGCGGTCCTTATACAACATGAAAACCCTAGGGTGCACATAACTTCAGGGGTCTATCTTTGATGGGAAGTGCTTGAATAAGGAAAATTCAGACCATCGACAGGGACTGAAGACGGGCATCTCATGAAAAAGCTTTCATTCCTGTTATCATGGACATTGTGGGAATTGGAGATTATTTCGGGCGATGAATCAATCACTATTCCGATTTGTGGTGTTCGAATAATCTTATATGGGTAAGCTTATTGACCAGGATTAGGTTCCATGATGGCTTTGAAAATTATTCTTGATTATTTGTATAATAGGACTTGGATATTGTGAGAGTCATCTTATGATGAACGAGTGACGGATATTGTCGAATATCTTCTTCTAATCGTCCCATTGGAAACTATGGGTAGGTGCTCCCAAGGGCTGACAATTCATAGATCTGACGATTTGTGTAAAGAATTTCAGATGATTTTCAATCTAAGATCATTGACGAGCGCCGAATAACTTCTATACATCAACGAGAGTAATCTTGTAGGTTCTAATGGTCAGAACTTGAATAACGAAAACGGTCATTGAGGGAAGCGTTGGGATAGTAACGAAATGAATAGTTTATGGCTATACCAGGCAAGTAAACACTCAAATAACGACAAGAATATTCGTGTTCTTCAAAATGTACACCTACCACTAAGAACCTGTTCCATTGAATTCCAAATTGATAGCCGTTAGTGAACACAAAACTCGTCATTAGTAAGTTATTAACTTGTCATAAGTGACTGATTTCTTCGTCATTAGTAACTTATTCACTTTTCATAAGTGACTTATTCATTTGCGATCACTGACTTATCTACTTGTCATTAGTGATCTTATCACATGTGATTAGTGACATATTTATTTGCTAGATACTATGGAAGAATTACATATAGTGTTCTCTGGAGAATGATAACCTGTGAAAAGACGAAAACTCATGCATTTGGAACATTACTTCTATAGCTATGATGATTCGCAAAAAGGTGAGGCTGACGATAAATATTGAGACACTGAATACAGGGTATATATCAGGATCATGCGTCGAGAAAAACTGTCCATCCGATTTTTCACTGGCACACTCTCTTTTCCTTCAGTGATGAAGATGGAAAAGTTGAAT